AATTGGAGTGTGAACATTCATTGATGAAGGAGAAAGAAGCTTTTTTATTAATTAAATAAAAATATTACGGAGAAAAATGGCTTGACTGTAAATTCTCCCACCATCTCCTCTATTCCATAATATTTTCTCAGATAGAATTGTATTGATTATTACGTCCCTGGGCCGATTGAACTCTTCTGTAAATCTTTTGCTCTCAGATTCCACCAAATCCATCCATGGTGCTATTAAAGCAGTCCTTTCCCATCTTCCTTTTGCATCTCTCTGTGTGTCTTGAGTGAGAGGAAAGCAAGCATCTGCCTGCTGTGGGTGTGCTCCGAGCTTCCACAGAGAAAACTTACATGCAAAGAAGAAAGGGGAGAGAGTGAGCATAGGTGTCTTTTTACGATTTTGATTTTTAAATTACTGTTGGTTTGCTCTAACCGCACGCATCCCTTGTCTCTTATACAATTAAGACTGCTGCTGTGATGGAATATTTTGTTATTGTAGCTTGTTACCTTTTTATTATTGTAACATATCATCAAGATAATATATAGTAATTGAACAAATTAAAACTGTCTTATAACATTTATCAAGATAAAATACATAGTCATTGAAGAAAGTTCAAACTGTGTCAAACAAAGGCTGCAGAATAAACTTAATCGACCCCCTTCTCCCTCAACCATATCTTATCATAAGTCCTTTTCCCCTACGAACACCTAGGGACAGCTGGTACCCATCATTTCAGACCTGTTTCTATTCTGTTTTTTTCATATAGAATACTACATCCACCTCCTCCTCATGTACATACTGACTCATTTAAATAATTTTTTTTTAAAATGAGGTCATACAATTCATTAGTTTCAAGTTACTTTTCTCCACTTGCTAATCTATTCTTGATATCTTTTTGTGTCCACATTTATTCTCATTTATTCCAATAACACTCTTTGTGGGTTTGGTGGTTTTTTTTTATTGTATGGAATGGTGTCTCTCTGGAGACTAAGGTGCGTCTGATACAGGCCATGGTATTCACAATCACTTGTTATGCATCAGAGAGTTGGACAATGACCAAAGAGGATAGAAGGAGAAATGATGCCTTTGAGCTGTGGTGCTGGAGAAGAGTATTGAGAATACCATGGACTGCTAGGAAAACAAACAGATTCGTCCTGGAAAGGGTTAAACTGGGTGGCTTCTTAGAGGCAAGGATTTTGAGGCTCCGTCTAACATATTTTGGACATGTTGTTAGGAGAGACTGGTCCTTGGAGAAGGACATAATGCTTGGGAGGGTGGAGGGACAGCGCAGGAGAGGAAGGCCCTCTATGAGGTGGATTGATTCAGTGAATGGGAGAATCAGGATGCGAGTGTCAGAGACAGTGCGATTGGCACAGGACAGAGTGGAGTTTAGGGCTGTTGTTCATAGGGTCGCTATGAGTCGCAAGAGATTCGATGGCACATAACAACAACAACATGGATGGATATACTATAAGCTATTTAACCATGCCACTGTTAGAGGACATCTATACTTTGGAATATTTGGCCATCATTACTGCAGAAACATTTTGAAATCTGTGATTTGGGGCATTTTTGTAACTGTTTCCTGTTCAGCCTTTTAGCTTCACAGGTTTATTTATAATTATAGGGTAAAGGTGAATGCGTTGAAAGTATCCTATTAACATTTGTCTGGCCTACAGATTTTTACAAAATATTGTGTTAGTTGCCAATATTTAGTGATGAGGCAATTTCAGATAAAAATCTTTCTGTTAGCTCAGATGACCCTACAAGAGTATTTGTGGAGCTCACCCCAGGGACAGCTGCGTACTATGCTGCCTGTAGTGGGGGCATGTGCTCCACAATTCAACGGCATCTCCATGTTTCCCATTGCTTCCCCAAAGTTCAGCATCAGTGGCCATGCTTTTTTTTTCTTGCCCTGAAATCCTTGTTGTTGTGTCGGTTTGCATTTTTTCGCCTTATAACAAGTATCTGTGAGTCTTCCACTTTCGCTCTTAGGCCAGAGCCCTTTAGTTGTGGTTCACTCTCAAGTCCATTTTCTGTTCCCGTGGCAGAGTAGGTCTGCCTCACATACATTTTCCAAGATGAACCACTTGTGGAAAAAGATCTCCATATCTTTCCCCCATAAAGCTACTGGGTGAATTTGAAGTGCCTCTTGATTAACAGCCAAGCGCTTAGCAGTTGCGCCACAAGGTTCTTTTTAGCAAGTCATAGTGTCTTACAATTTGTGTGACTGGCATTTTGGTATTCCTCATTTCTTGTGGACTATGCCATACCTGCAGCAAAGGGCTTCAGTGTGTGAGAGAGATTGTGAGGATGGCACAGGATGGGACATAGGGTCTCTATGACTTGTACTCGGCTCAACAGCACCTAACAACAACAACAATGCCATGCCTTCCTGGATGCTTAGTGATCTTGACTTCCATGTATTAAATACCACACTCTACTCTCTTGGTGAAACAGTTCAAAACCCCTCACATACTCTTCAGATTTTTCCAGTGCAGAGTGTCACAGAACTTCCTCTCAAGGACAATATGACAGATGTGTAGTTGACCTTTAGAACCTGCTCAGGTCTAAAGATTGGAAGACTTGAATGACTTACCTCTTCTAAAAGCAGCGTACAGTGTCTAAGCCAGAAGAGAAGATGGCATTGAGTGTGAGACAGGTTATATTGAAAAGTATGTCATTCTTTTCCTAGACTCCCTTCAATAATTATTCTGTAAAAGACAAAAAGATGTTGTTAAATAGTGTCTTCTCAGTTGACTGTAAGCTTGCTATTCTTCTTTCTTCAAGTTGCTTAACATCAAACTTTTTTTGTGAGTATGCACTTAGAGAATTTGAAACCATGGTCACTTTTCTAAGAAGTATTTGAACACACATGTATTTATATGCCTTCTATGTACCAAAAAAGACAAATTCATATGAGAGAGACGAAAGGGGTCAAATTTGAAACCTACAGGTCTTGACCAAGTCATTGTAAGTTCTTTGCTGTGGGCAAGTCTTTGAAAGTCACATCAACACACTCGTCTTCCTTCTTATGAGCAGTGAGAAAACTTACCAGTAACTCAGTTTATATAAACAAAATATACAAATGTAATTAAACATTCAAATTTTTAAATATTAAAAGCTATCCCAATCCTAGCATGCAAAATGATGAGCAAGGCCCAGAAGGTCATGGAGTTCGCTAACACCATCGGATTGCACACTTTACCATTAGGCTGGACGTTCTCAAGACCAGTTCAGTTGGACCAGTCTTCCATTCTTCTCAGAAGTCTCAAGAATATAACAACACTTTGAGAGTTCTACTTTAGTGACTAAGTGTACTGAATTAGAAATTAAGACGTTAGATTTGGAATATTAGTTAAAATGCTTTCAAGCTGGTTATATTTTTAAAACCATGCGTGGTTGTTAAATTTGGTTTATTTCTCTTGTGGATTGCTTGAAATGAGGTATCATAATCTACCACTAGTTTGGGAGTACTCAATCATGCATTTAAACATTTTTTTAAATTTTTAAGAAGAAGCCCCATGTCTTTGGAATATAAATCACAACTTTAAGTATGTTAAAAATTGAACAGAATTTTTCAAATCCCAAGTCGTTTGCATTGTCTTGTTGAATTCTTTTGGTTTGGGGAGAATGTGGAGAAGAGAAAAGGCAGCTGAACTGCTTGGTTTGTGTCCTAAATGCTTTGGGTTCAGCCAACATGAAATGTTTAGTTTGGATATTTCCAAACTTCTCTGCGCAATTTTATAAGATGAATTTGAATCAAAATCAAGTCAGTTCTACTTGTTTGTGTGGTGGCACGTGAGCAATGGTCCCACGGGTTGGGCTTAACATTTTCTTTTCTTCTTGCAAAAGCTAAAGTAAGATATACTGCCAACTTTGACAAAGTACAATTTTTTTTTTGCCAAGTCCCCCCTTTTTTCCCCTCCTTGTTAAAATTAACTGGCCCTTGCTTTGGCTTCGATACTTGCAAAGTCAATCTTGGATACTTAATAAACTTTTTATTAAATAGAAGGGTCCTGCTTTTTCTCCTTGCACAATATCTCCCTTAATTTATGAACTTTGCTTTGTGGCTGTACATAAACTAAGAATGAAGGCAGCAGCGTGGCGGTGTATGCAGAGTTAAGAATCCTTGGTGGCACCTTGAAGGTGTCTTCAGAAAAATTTCAAAGACATGATGGCACAATTTCATTTATACCCGAGTGATTGTGTTAAAAGTATACCATGTTTAACTATGGAAATGACTTCAAGTCTCAGTATTTATAAATATTTCCCATCTCCAACGGCCATTTATAATGGAAAAAGAAGATATATGGCATTTTGAAAAAGCCAGTTCTATGGTCTAAAGCTTGGGAAACACAATAAAGCAAAAGACATGTGGCCTCTCTGTGGTCAGTCCTGACTCAGCTATTTGGTTGCACAATTCACCCTGAGTGACCTGCATTCTTTGAATCTGTAAAATGGGAGCCATACACTTATTTGAAAAAAGGATTATAATGATTTCTCATGCATAATGAATGTTACTATATCTGTTACAGACTGAAGGCACGGAGCAAGAATAATTTCCTGCCTCCATCTTCTTGACTTTCTTAGTTTATCATTGAGTAGAAATGTTGTCTGAAAATGTGTGCATTTTCTTTTAAGGAAATAATTTAAAAGGAAATATCTACGGTTTTTAGAATGTTCCCCAAAGTCATCTTTAGCTTAACAAATCTTTAGCATTTTATAAACGTCATTTTTTAATTTAGCTGATACTATTCCAAGTCTGATAAAGATTTCGGAGAAATACATGTAATTTTTTTTAAAATTAGAAACCCTGAAAAGAATGCTTTTAAAACTGGAATTGTACCCTTAGATTTCTGGTCCTACTGTAGTCAGGAAATGCTGAGATCTTGAAGGACTTTTTGTTAGTGAAAAAGATAAAAGATTTTTTTTTCTTTTTCTCAAGTCTCCCATCATTAAAGTTTGGTTCTAACAGCAGACTCCTTCTCTTTTTCATGTGTTTTGAAAAGCAGCTACTCCCTGTATCAAAGCCATCAGCCCGAGTGAAGGATGGACGACGGGAGGTGCGACTGTGATCATCATAGGGGACAATTTCTTTGATGGGTTACAGGTCATATTCGGTACCATGCTGGTCTGGAGTGAGGTAGGTGTTGTCTGCACATTAATATCTAATAGCTTGGTCTAGCTGAGGGTACTGTCTACACCTGAATTTCTAATAGTATGTAGAATTTAGCAGAGCCACTCTGGGTGGGCCACCTCCAGTCTGTAGAACTCTGGGCCCCAAATAAGATGAATGAAGTTTATCCAGGAGCAACAGTTTCTGCTAGAAAGATTTCCATTCTCTGGCTCATGTGCTGTGAGGGAACGTCTGTGCTGTAATTGTTTTCTTTTTGATTTGCCATGGTGTGAGGGTTCTGTTGAATGATGAGATATGGAAAAGAGATGTGAAGTCACATAAATGCACAGGCGAAGTTTTAAACTTTGAGATAGTGATCTATGCATGTTGTGTAGATGTAATCTAGGATGGGTTAATCTTCAAGAAAAGCATACAAATGAGAGTGAAAATCCAAGTGTAGGTGATTTTCAATGTACTAAGTAACTCTTCACCATAGAAAGAGTTGTTGTTATATGACTTTGAGTCAGATCCACCCTATAGCTGTCTCTCCAGTGGGTTTTCAGAGGCAGTGAATTGCACAGGAGGAGATTTCCTATCTTTCTTCTGTGGAGAAGCTGATGGATTCAAACTGCATGCCTTTGGGTTAGCAGCACATCTCTTTACTACTAAGCATTAACCCTAGGGATTGTTCAGCAGAGAAGTGTCAGATGTATAGGTTCAGTTTAGAAGAAGCTGTGGCACTTGCACTAGAGATATTATAGACATTTTTAGTTGGATTTTAGCTGAAAGCAGAGAGTACCAGAAGAATGTCTATCTATGTTTCATTAACTACACAAAAATTTGTGTGGATCACAACCAACTGTGGCTAACTCTGAGAATGGAAATCCCAGAACACTTGATTGTGCTTGTGTGAAACCTATTTTTGGAACACAAGGGAGTCATCAGAATAGAACAAGGAGGCACTGCGTCTCTGATAATCAGAAATAGTGTATTCCACAGATGCATTCTATCTCCCTACCTTTTCAATCTATATGTGGGAAGGATCATCCAGGAGGCTGGGCCCCATGAAGAGCAGTGTGGGATCAGGATTGGGTGAAGACTCATCAACAACCTGCTCTACGTAGTTGATACAACCTTGCTTGCCAAAACAGGGGAGGGTCTGAGGCATTTGCTGCAGGAGGTCTAGGACTGCAGACTTCAATATGGATTGAAGCTCAACATCAAGAAGAAAAAGATTCTCCCCACTGGGCCAATTAGAAGAATTATGATAGATGGTGAAGAGATTGAGATTGTTAACAACTTCATCTTATTTGGCTCAGCACTCTTAGTACCAGCAGCCAGGAAATCAAGACAAATTGCACTGTGAAAATCTGCTGTCAAGGACCTTTCCTGATTACTGAAGAGCAATGGTGTTAGTCTGGAGATTAAGGTGTACCTGAACCAGTCATGATCTTCTCAATTACTTTTATGCATCAGAAAGCTGCAAAATGACTAGGAATGCTAGAAGAAGAATCAATGCCTTTGAATTGCGATGGTGGAAAAGAGTATTGAATATACCATGGACTGCTAAGAGACCAAACAGATGCATCCTGGAGAGGGTAAAACCAAGCTACTCCTCTGAAGCAAGGATTCTGAAGCTTTGTCTGACATACTTTGGGCATGTTACAAGGAGGGACCAGTCCTTGGAGAGAGGAAGACCATGGATGAGATGGATTGACTCCGTGGCTGGGTTAATGGGGGTAGGTGTGTCACAGACAATGAAATTGGATCAAGATAGAGCAGGTTTAAGGCGGCTGTACATACGGTTTCTATGAGTCTCAAGTGACTTGATGATACATAACAACAACAACAGCAAGAACAACATAGTTTTATAGCTCTCAGGCACCTCAGCTTATGACTGTAATCATATGAAAATGGCTGTGTTAGTGCAGTGACTACCAGCAGTGACTACCAAATACTTTGATTATTATTTTAATATGCCAATTGACTTGTCCAGCAATAATCATTATCATCTTGAAATTACAAAACATAAACATCAACATTACATAGATACCCTGGCTAACTTGCTTATGCTTTCTTTCTAAATGCTGAGTTTAGATTTCTCAGTCCGTATGCTCAGTTCCGCTTCCCTTTTACCTCACCAGAGTTTAGAATAAAACACAAGGCACACTAGAGTGTATTCATCCCAGTTGTTTCACAAGGAGTCGTATTAACCATGAAACTTTATGGAGCACTTTTTTATTCTAGGCACTGTGCTGGGCTCTTGACATAAATCATATTAATTTTTTTCTCAAACCTATATGGTAAATACTGTTGTTGCTCTTAGTTCTGGTTGAGTTGACTGCCCTTCATGGTGAACCCAGGCACAATGGAATGAAATGATGCTGGATCCTGCACCTTCCCCTGTTGGGGTGTGGGTCAAGCTATTGTGACCTACAGGGTTTTCACCAACTAAATTTCAGATATAGATTGTCAGACCATTTTTCCTAGTTCATTTTAGTTTGGAAGCTCTGCCTACTCATGTTCAGCATCATAGCAATATGCAGGCATTCATAAATTGATAATGGCTGCATGTGATATGCATTAGGCAGGAATTGAACCTGTGTCTCCTACATTATTTTCTTGATTAGGATATTAAGGCTTAGAAATGCATAGTCCTATAATCAGCCCCTACCTGAACAGACCCCATAGGATCTCAATAATGTGTTTGCGATCATTCAAAGATGTCAGTACCACAGCGAGAGCTAGAACTCAGGCTTTCTATTTCCATTTCTACCTACCCTCACATAATGATACTCCATATGTTAGATGGATCTTGCCTGAAAGCAGGGACTACAAGAAGAAAGTCTAGCTATGTTTCATTGACTATGCAAAGGCGTTTGACTGTGTGGATCACAACAACTTGTGGCTGACTCTGAGAAGAATGGGAATCCCAGAACACTTGATTGTGCTGTGTGAAACCTATCCTTGGACCAGGAGGCAATCATCAGAACAGAGCAAGAAAACACTGTATGGTTCAAAATAGGCATGTGCCAGGGATGTATCCTATCTCCACACCTTTTCAATCTATATGCAGAAAAGATAATCTGAGAGGCTAGGCTGGAGAAATGTGGCATCAGGATTGGAGGAAGACTCATCAGCAACCTGCATTATGCAGATAACACAACTTTGCTTGCTGAAACTGAGGAGGATCTGAAGCCCTTGCTACAGAGAGTCAGGGACTTCAGAGTTCAATATGGATTGAAACTCAACACCAAGAAAACAAAGATTCTCACCACTGGGAGCTGATTGGCAGCATCATGATGGTGAAGAGATATAGATTGTTAAGAGCTTCAGCTTGCTTGGCTCCAAAGTCAACAATCTTGGTACCAGCAACCAAGAAACCAAAAGATGAATCACATTGGGAAAGTTGGCTGTGAGGGACTCTGCAGAGTACTGAAAATCAATGATGCCAGTCTGGAGACTAAGGTGTGCCTGACAGACCATGGTCTTCCCATTTATGTGCTATGCATCAGACAGCTGTACAATGTCTAGGGATGATAGAAGGAAAATTGATGCTTTTGAACTGTGGCACTGGACAAGAGTGCTGAACATACCATGGACTACTGGCATCCACTTCCATAAATAGCTTCCCTCCAGAAACCCTATGAACGTGGAGAAAGGATGAAAGTCACACAAGTGTCGAGAACTTTTGTTCATAGGGTCGCTATGAGTCGCCTACGACTCGATCGCACTTAACAGCAACAACTAGGAGAACAAACAGGTTCTTCCTGGAGAGGGTGAACCTAGGCTACTCCTTGGAGGCAAGGATTCTGAAGCTTCGTCTGACGTCATTTGTGCAGATTGCAAGGAGGGACCAGTTATTGGAAAGAGACATCACACTTGGGAGGGTGGAGGGACAGCACAAGAGAGGAAGACCCTCAATAAGATGGATTAATCCAGTGACTAGGGTAATGGGGGTAGGTGTGTCAGAGACAATAAGGTTGGCTCAGTAGATCAGGGTTCAGAGCTGTTGTACATAGGGTCCCTATGAGTCGTATGTGTCTTGATAGCACAAAACAAAACAACAACTGTTGTGTTGGGACCAGCTCATAGCTGACCCTCTAGTAGATTTTCTGAGGCAGTAAATTTCACAGACGTTGATTGCCCCTCTTTCTCCCTCAGAGCAGCTGGCAGATTTGAACCATATGCCTTTGGGTTGGCAGTGCAATTCTTTACCACTAGGCCATCGGAGATCCCTGTTTAACCCCTTTAGAGATTTTATTTATGTGCATGCTTAATGGGGTCTTAGAAAGGAGCAGAGAGTTAAGCCTGTGATTGTTGGGTATGTTTATCTCTCCAAAGCAGAGGCTGTCCTTTTTTGTAAGCCTTCCTTGTGCACTTTTCACTGCCAATAACCCACTCAGACAAGCCCCTTGCCAGCATGTGCTGCCTCTGCCTGTGCTTTCCCCACACAGCCAACAAGTGATATGCTCTTGGCCAGAGAATCAAAGCTCTTGTAAAACTGAATCAGAGATGGGCTTCTCTGTCCACCCACATAATTGTTGTCCAACTTGGAACATCCCAGGCTTGAGAGAGAGGATGAGCTTCCTCTGCCAACTACATCTCATTCTTTATTGGAACCACTGAGTTGTGAATTAGAAACATCACATTCATGGCACACTTTACTGCCACCTTAGTGTCTTCATCCCTGCTGACTTGGCTGCAGGTGTAACAGCAGTTCTCGCAAAGACGGCCTCAAGCAGGCCTTGTGGCTATTTCTTCGTCACTTTCCAAACCTTATCCTGTTGTGTATCATGCAAGCATGAGGGAGGAGGAATCGGAACAGAATATTGACATCTTGCTCATGTTAACAGCAGTCAGAATGAGGCCCTGAAAAGTGAAGACTATAATTTGACAGTGGGTTCCTATTGATCCTCTGAGAGTTAGGTGGGTTGGTGTGAAACTTCCTTTAAAGCTCTGTGGGTGTCTTAGCTCAAGTAGATGGCACTGGGTGTGGAATAAGCACTAGGTACATTAGGAGATCT